AACAACAGAACTGGTGTTTTTGGTGAAGTTGCTTCAAGACAGGTACAAAGAAATAGTCACATCTTCAACAACAACACGAACATCACTAGCAACAACAACACGAACATCGCTAGCAACAGCAACAATACGATTAACAGCAACAATACGATCATCAACGGCAACAATACGATCATTACCAGCAACAGCAATAACAACAGAACTGGTGTTTTTGGTGAAGTTGCTTCAAGACAGGTACAAAGAAATAGTCACATCTTCAACAACAACACAAACAACACTAGCAACAGCAACAATACGATTAACAGCAACAATACGATCATAAACAGCAACAATACGATTAACAGCAACAATACGATCATAAACAGCAAAAATACGATCATTACCAGCAACAGCAATAACAACAGAACTGGTGTTTTTGGTGGGATTACTTCAAGACAGACTCTGTGACTATGCGGTGAATAACTGAAACTAATACCGTTCGCCACTACACTGACTCGAACAAACGCAGCTCAAAAATACTTTCTGGGGCTTAACAAGAGAAGAAAGAAATAAAACAAGAAGCGGCATACTTAAAGGTCCATCTAAGAAGAGGTAGCTAAGAAAATGCATACAGTATCCCTACAAAATTATACTCCCTTGATTAAAACCCGGGTATTATTCATCACCATCCTGGCTTGATTCTTGAATAGTACCCGGTTTAACTATATGAATTTATTACTGTTTATATGATATATCCCCAAATATAGTACTCGGTTCCTCACAGAGTACCCACGGGTACTATTCAATTTAAAAAATGAAATTCTTAGATAAGATACTGGGTACTGTATGCAGTGGCAAACGGTAAATAATTACAGATAGAGGTCCAATATTTGAAAATTATTACAGATAGAGGTTCAATATTTGAAAATTATTATAAATAAAGGTCAAAATAATTATGTGCTTAAAGAACCCGTGATTCAAGTCTCGTTTCAATGACTTGAATATAAATCGTAATATAATCGTTAATTGTTAGTGTATATAAATATAATAATAATCAATTAATAGTTCGAATATAAATTCAAATATACGATATAAAGTATGCATTTGATTCGTCACCATTATTTGCGCTATAAATTAAATTCTTGGTATAATTTTTAAAACTTGCTTATGAAAAACGCCATGTCAGATACAAAATTACAGATCGATATGACTTTATTAATATGAAAAACGTTTGCTCTTGGACAGCTATTTTATCGAATTCTCTTATTAAGTTCAGAATAGACAACCCAAATAAGCTGCTGGTTATTTGTTCTGCAAATGAAACCAGTTCATTCCCTTTTACTATTTTAGCTAATAAGCCCAAAGATGACTACATTCATTCAGTAAAGCTGATTTTTCATGGTTCAACGTGTCTAACTTCTATGAAAGAATTAAAACTAACATGCACATTTTAGTTTTACTGCTTAATGCTAGATAAGAAATTAGGCTGTGTAGTTAACATTATACAGTAATACATTTGTATGCAATTCGATCATGTAATTAATTAATGTACAGTTTTTTTTCCTTTTTTTTTTTTTTAATTCTGTCTGATGAATGATAACTCTAAAACACCTATTGAATCACGAAATGAGGAAATTAAATCATGGTGTCATTGCATTTAAATCGGCTAGCAATTTTGACGGTATATATTTAATAATTTTTTAAATATCGGGCCTCTATCAGTTAATTTTATTTTGGGCCCTTATTTTGTAATTATTTTTAATTCTATAAGAACATTTGTTACGGCTTTTAGGCTAGTTCGACACAGCTTTTAGCTCAAAATTCTATTGATAATGCAACAGATTGCATCTAGGCACCTTCGAGGCAGGCGGATGATGCCAAACTTGTAAATTAAGTAAACACTTGTATAAAATAATAAAAGTATAGGTGGTCTGCCTAAGGATTAAAAAAAAACAAATAAGACGGAGTCAGATAACTCAACCTCGCAGATCAAATAATAAGGAACTTTATACAGAGAGGGAGAAGTTTAAAAATCGGATCCAGCTGCTTGAACAAGAAAACAAGGTACCCTGAGAGAAAATTGAATGTCTTCGTTTAGATTTTCAAATCCTTTCATTACTTATTAACTGCTTACTTTGTATATACTTATAGCGATAATTATTACGTATTATTATTATTTGGAAACTGAAAATTATAATTATATTCGAGCTAGGACCATAATTTTTTAATAGTGCATATGGCAAATATGATTTATGTATGCGTTAGAATAATAAAATTATCTGTTGTCATGTTTCGTGAATTAGACTTAGTTATAATTTTATCTAAATCTTCATAAAAAAAATAACTCGTTATTATTCTTAGTTGGCATAATTGTATAACAAAGAAATTATATAACTGATAAGTAAATCATCAATTATGTTTATATTCTCATCAATACGATGACTTATCAGCTCATTCAGAAAAGCTATATTAACTAGTCAAATAACTTCTATAAGACC